TCACGGTGGTTCCGGTAATTTTTGTGTAAAATATGATCCCCCTTGTGGAAGGCCAATTATCAAAAATGTCTATAAACCATCGTGTGTGTTTCGCTGGTATTGGCAAGGAATCATCCGCTATTAGCTACCCCCTTACGGCCAATCTCCGAACCTATACTGTCAGCAGTTGAACCGTTTGAATGAAATAATTACCCAAAAGTTCCCAGCTTTCGCCTACAGGTGGGGAATTGTATTTCATCACGACAACGCCAGACCATACACATCGATAGTGACTCGAAAGAGGCTCCGAGAGCTTGGTTGGGAGATTTTCATGCATACATTTTTGAAGCAAAGCCTGTGAAATGTGATTGCCCAGATACAGCGAAAAGTTATTAAAGAAAACAGTGGATGAAATATTTTATAATAGACCAAAATATGGTCTTTTGGTTGTCAGTCCTTAGTCTAATCGTTCTCAACTTATCGTACCGTCTACACATATTGAATTAAAGTCATATCCATTTACCTGCCTTCAAGATCACTAGAACTCAGCTGTATATACATACATACACATGTTTTTAAGGAGCAATATCCTATTTAGCTGCTGAAGGAGACGGCAGATCTCATGAAAAGCATGTATCGATGGGAACAATAAATACCGTTAAAATCATAATATTACTTCAACACACACAACTGAAACAATAACCTTTATTCGAATCACAATTATTCAACGAAGCTTTAAAGGTCTTAGAGAACATGTTAAAAGCGTCACTCACATCAAAGTATTGCGTTGAAGTGACTCACGAAGATCACACTGCGTATGAGTGACATTTTTATGAAAGATTATAATGTGCTTTTTATATACATATTATTTATATTTATTAAGTTTAAATTAACTTCATTCATTTTAAATATGATTTTCACTAATTCTATTTATTTTATTTTATTTTATTTTATTTTATTTTATTTTATTTTATTTTATTTTATTTTATTTTATTTTATTTTATTTTATTTTATTTCATTTTATTCTTTTGTTTTTATTTTATTTTCTCTTTATTTTATCTTAGTTTTTATTATTATAATTTAAACTAAATAATCACAATGTCTTTGCTCCACAATAATGTAAAAAAGCTTGGAAAGTATTTACATTGGTGTCATTTGTGTGCTATCACATCCCAAGCTCTTTATGGCAATGGTTGCGTATTTGCTTGATGACAAATTTCAGCATTTAGCGAGTTTTTTTCTGTTACCCAAAAAGCAGATTTTATTCATAATTTGTATCAACTGATATTTTGCTTGGTTTCTGTATTCTTGGCACTTTTTGCTTATTAACTATGCGTAACAACAAGCAGAGGCATTGCCAGGAAAGGGCATAAGAAATACAAGGCAAAACAGATGGAGAGACCAGGGAGACCAGCTGCTATCTTCTCCGTATCATCGAATTCTCTCTCATTGTTTTTACTTGACGGTTATACTTTTTCGTTTTCGATTTATTTTTTTCATATTTATGTATTCCGAGAAATATTTCATGCATTTTTCATAGAAGCTAACGGCTGTGCCCCGACCAGGAATCTCTCAACCAGAATTTTTTAAGAGCACAAAAACTACAGAAAAAGTATTAAATGTAGATACAGGTGGCTGATGTGGCGCATATATATATAAATCGAATATTCAACATGTAACCACAATACATGTACAAATATTATCATATTTGTTTCAATAGATATTACCGAAGTCAAATCTCAATTTCGCAGGAATGTTTTCCTGAAAACCTCCTTCTAGCAATAATAAAGCAAAGTAAGAAAAAAAGAAAAAAAAGTAGATAAAATAAAATAAAATAAAATAAAATAAAATAAAATAAAATAACTAAAATAAAATGAAAAGAAATAAGATGAAATAAAATAAAATTGAATGATATAAAATAAAATAAATCAAAAAAAAATAAAATAAAATAAAATTAAATTAATAAAGATGAATTGAATGGTATTAAATCGTATAAAATTAAATAAACTGATATAAAATAAGGCAAAAAAATTATATTTTTATGGTCACTAAGAAATAGACAAAAATAAAATTTGAAGAAAATGGTTTAACATAAATCTTCTCTATCTTGACTCGCTCAGTCACCTAATTTACTCTGATTGTCTGTCAATCAAACTTTTGCTCTGCAGTGCAATTAGTGCAACTGAACTCCACGACCTTCAAAGAACTGCGCACGTAGAGCAAACTTATTAGCTTCTCGGCTGACGCAATGAGCATTCATTTCACACCTTTCCATATATGTATGTACATATAGTATTTGTATGTATGCATATGCGTGGTAAATGGTTATCGCCTCCATTAAAGTTTCCACAATCAACTTTTGTGTGCGCCTTTTCAGCCACTTTTCAAACTTTCAGAACCAAAGCATCGCCTGTCTGCTCGAATTCACAAGGTGAGATAGACACATTAACGGAGGCGGTGTTTGTATATGTGTATTTTGGATAGAAAGTCTGTTGAATAAATGAAGGCAATTTTAATTTTCAACAGATTTCAGTAAGACAATGGAATGCAAGAACCAAAAAGTGGGAGTGCAAGAACGAGTATGCAGTGATTAAATCAGGAGCAAAGAATTGAAAGTTTTTGCAAAAATCTGAAACAATAATAATAATAATAGGAAGTCAGCAATTGACAAAAAATCATTGAAAAAAGATGGCAACAACAACAACAACCCATCCGAAGAAAAGAAAGAAAACTTTGGAGTGCTCCATTCATGTGCGATGTAGTTATAAATTCGTGGCAGCGGCCGACAGCGATTTTATTACCTTTTCCGTTGAGTTCAAACATAAATGGAAGTGAGGAGGCTCACATTGTGCCGTGTATGTGGATGTAAGGTGGTATTTCGACAAATTCACTGTCAGTTCAACGACTTAGAGGGAAGTGAGCTGATAAGCAATTTCAGCTGAGGAATACGGTTCTTGCCTGAAAGTTTTCAGCCCTTCGAAAACGTTTTATATTATCTCTCAGTATTTTGTTAAAGCTCTCAGAGTCTTCGTTCGGGAAACCCTTTTTTCTTGTTAGAATTACAGACCATGTCGTTAAATCTATCTTAAATCTTCACTTAAGTTTTAAACCTTCAGAGAGTAGAAGTAGGAACCGCACAGCAAATTGCTCTGGGATCTGTTATAAGACAAGCTGAGTCGACCATTCACCCTTCTCCGTACCTTGAGCCTTCTCTGCTTGCAATTAATTTTCTCTTAATTTCCTTCTGCTGTCTTCTCTGCTCTCAGTGATACAGTTTTACTATCTTCATTTTCCTCGTTTCTATAACGCCTCTAACTCCAATAAGTATTGTAACTACGATACAGAGTCAGCCATTTCTTTCATATCCACTCCTACAGACGTTCCCTACGAGGTTAGTGTGCCGTATTTCAGTGTTGATGGCATTGCCCGTATTGACAGCACGTTCCAACCGCGTTCCCAATAAGTTTGTACATACTGAATTCCTTTGATTTGTATCTATGGTATTCAAATATGAACGCTACAGCTTTGAGGAATGTCCAAAAAGGCCTTTGTGGGCTTAGAAATTTGCTTTGATTTTCCATCACCAATAAGTAATCAGTGTAAATCTCTACGTACCGACATGGTACGGACTGTAAGGTATGCCTGGGCGGTCACAATGGCTGAGCTGTTAACATTACACACTGCTAAGAGGAAGGGCACTGTTCGCGACCTGGCTTAACTAACTTCGAGTGTACTTCTGATATGAAATAAAAGCTCCTCATAAAAATCCATCGGCCATTTGAAGATGGCTCAGAATTAACGGGAGGACCATAGATTAGAAGTAAGTTGGCAAAACAATACGACCATTGTGTTTAACAAAGGTCTAAAAGCTGCTCTGCTAATACCTGGAGCCAATGATATTCTCCTGCCGACAATGAAATCCTTAGCCAGCTGCTGAGAAAAATCTCATAAATCATTTATTTATTTGAGACACTTTGAGCGTCCTGTAGAATTTTCTTTGATTATTTATTAAATTCTTAAAGCAAGAGTCCTCCCATTTTTGTGCCTCCATTGATTTTCTTTCGATTACATCCCGCTTTGTGATTAATCTTGACGGTTAAGCGTTCCAAATTTCGCACTTTCCCTATTAATTTTCATGCCATCTGTTTATAAATTGCCAACAATTTCGAAAGACTCACCAGAAAGCTGCTCCTCCACTGCATGTGTCTCCGAACGGAGAGGTCAACGGAACGCACACGCAATCAATTCTTCAGTTATTCATGTGCTTACATAATCATTGAGCGTGTTCAATCATTCTGCACATACACGCGCAGCAATTTGTCTTTCCCTATCCCACTCTCCATCTCCCTTTCTCTCTCTCTCTCTCTCTCTCTCTCTCTAGAGCGAGCTGATATCTAACATTTTGCGCTCAAATAATTCTTTATCATCCGCCATTCGCAGTACTATTTTCACTGCTTTTTTATTTTTCTTTATTTTTTTCTTTCTTCCCGTTATATAGCCCTCTCTTGTTTGTTTTCTATGTGTGTGTATAGAGGGCTTGGTATCTTATTTAGCTTATAATCCTGTCAATATCTTTGAGGATTTTATTTCTTTTTATCAAGTTTCTTCATATATTATTTTTCGTATTTTCTATAATTTTTTTTTTTTACTTTTATTTTTTTTTTTTCGTTATCATTTTCAATTTTCAGTTTTTGTTTTTGTTTACAATTTTTTTATTCACAACCCCTTTTTTTCTCTTCTTAAACACAAACAAGACCACATAAGCTCTCCCGCTCATACCATCTCAGCTGCTCTGGTTGCTAAAACATTTGTTTGTTTATCCTTTCGTTCCGTTCGCTTTGGCCAATCTATTTCAACTTTACACTTTCATTGCTCGCTTGCCAATGAAGATTACAAATCGGTTTGCTTATTACTTTTTGTTGTTGCACCAACATTTCTATATTGATAGTCTGCACTCTCTTAGGTCCTGTTTTGGTATCGAGTTCTTCGTTTTATTTTTCGTGTTTTCCTTTTTTTTGAAATTCCATTTTCTCGCGTTTTGCTCACTGTTTTTTTGTAGTTTTGGGAAGGCAAATGGTTTAACCGGAAAAGGCGTTGCGTATTGATGGATTTTAAGTATTTTCCAAATAAATTTTCCGCCTTCATTTAGCAGCAGGATATTGCCTAAATTGTTGAGTTTGTGTGTGTTGTTCTTGTTGCGTGCAACATGTTGCTGCCAGAAGCTTTTTAAGTATGTTGGATTGCCTACGCGAGCTTAAACGATGAAATTTTATACGTTAGTCAGTCCTGTTAACTGTTGTTGTTGTTGTTGTTGTTGTTGTTGTTGTTGTTGTTGTTGTTTTGTTTTGTTTTTGTTGTTGTTGTTGTTTTGTTTTGTTGTTCGGGATAGTTTTTGTGATTACAACAACAGCAAAAACAACAACAACAAAAACAACAACAACAACTACTACTACTACTACTACTACTACTACTACTACTACTCCTACTACTACTACTACTACTGCTACTACTACTACTACTACTACTACAACTACTATTACTACTACTACTTCTATTACTACTACTACTATCACTACTATTAGTACTATTAATTCTACTACCACTACTACTACTACTACTACTACTACTACTACTACTACTACTACTACTACTACTACTACTACTACTACTACTACTACTACTACTACTACTACCAGTACAACAGCAACATCAATAACAACAACGACAGCGAAAACGATAAGAGTTAACCAACAGGGAATGTCAGTCCTTGGTCGGATAAAAATCCGGGCCGGGCCGGTTTAAATACCCAACTGTCGCTGGAACTTTATTGGCTTTTAGTTGCCTCTTAAGACGCGAGGTTCAGTCCTGTTGATCATTTGTAATGGCAGATGTAGGCTCACCTGAAGTAGTCATTGCGGAGAACGTCAACGATTTAAAGGTTTTTGTTTTGTTCAATCACTTTCAAATACAAATCACATTAACAAAAAATAAAATAATAATAATTTAAAAAATCACAAATATTTTTCGCCCCTTTTGAAAAGGAAACAGCACTTTAAATCTTGAAACAAAAATTACTTACGTTCAATGTCCAGCAGTCTACTTATAGTCACTTTCGGTATTTTATCTCCCATCAACAAATCTAACCCGAAAATTGATTGATATTTACCCTCGCTTACTCCTACACACCTTTACATTGAAACCAGAGAAAATTGTAACGGAAGAAAAAATTTTAAAAATTTATATTTCAGCAAATATTTGACAACTTAATGCCAACCGACCAGCAGAAAAGTGACAAAGTGAAGAAGATTCCTCCTTACTCCTTCCAAAGAGCCTTTAAACAGCAATTGATATGGATCTGGCAAATCAGCTACGAAGCAGTTAAATGAAATAAAGCTAGATGAAATGGAAAATTCAATGTATAAGAAAATGCAACAAGACGTAATGTGTGTGCGTGTGTAGTAACGAACTTTTCAGTTCTGCTTTCACAGGGGAGAAAGTATTGAAACGTCACAGCGATTATTTCATTTAGCTGACAAAAATTCGAATAGGCTTAAAAAAAGTTGAAATAATTTCCAGACAAAAAAAGGAAATAAAAAATAAAAAATAAAAAAAAAAATAAAAAAATAAAATAACTTAACATGAAATAAAATTAAAATAAATAGAAAAAAATAAATTAAAATTAAATAAATAAATAAAATGAAATAAAAAAGTTAGATAAAATAAAATTTAATAATGTATAATATTGAATTAAAATAAATAAAATAAAATACAATTAAATAAAGAAAATTTTAGCTGGAAACAGTTTTTACTTGAGAGTAGAACAGTTTTGATTGAGAACAGTTTTAACCGAGAACGACTGATAACAGTTTTGTCTTAGAACAGTTTTGCTGAGAACAGCTTTTGACATAAGAACAGCTTTTCAGAGAACGATTTTTGACTAAGAACAGTTTTACCTGAGAATAGTTTTTCTGAGAACAATTTTTGACTAAGAACAGTTTTGTCTAAGAAAAATTTTTGAATAAGAACAGTTTTGTTTGAGAACGGTTTTTGCTGAGAACAGATCTTGGAATAGGGACAGTTTTTTTTTACTAAGAACAGCTTTTTCTGAGAACTTTTTTTGATGAGAACAACTTTTGACATGGGAACAGTTTTTCTGGGGACAGTTTTTTTACTAAGAACAGCTTTTTCTGAGAACATTTTTTGACTAAGAACAGTTTTACTGAGAGCAGTTTGTCTGAGAACAGTTTTTGCCTGAGACCAGTTGTTAACTGATAACAGTTTTTTGCCAGAGAACAATTTTTGGCTGCGAATAATTTTTGAATCAATGCTAGTTTCTGTTGATATGAAAGATAGGTTTATCTTCGGAAAGCTTAAGCATCATATTGACTGAAGATCTCTGATTACATATATGGAAAAGAGTACTCATGAGAAAGCAATGGTGCTTAGTGATACCCTAATATGAGCACAATATATATACATGTACATGTAAGTATATCGTTTTTTCTTATTCTCAGCGTTTCAACTTAAATTGTGGTATATTTGTGGGTATAACGGATTAAAATGCTAATATTGTTAGCATTATATTATTTAGAATTAAGTGTTATTAACGGTTCAACTAATGTATGTACATGTTCACAAAATCGATTATTGATAAATGATGAGATACTGGTGATGACTGAAAATTTTACTTAAAAAAAAAAAATTTTAATTAAAAAATGATTTATGCGCTTTTAACTTGAAATATGAAAATATTATGGATCATCAATAATGCAAAACAAATCTAAAATCGCAACAAGTGTCATTTAGAAGAGGAAATGTCAGCAGAAACCGAGTGGCCGAACGAAAACCTGCGACACTATTAATTTAATCAACCAAATGTGAACAAAATGCTGATTGCTCGAAGTATTTTTCTACAGGGGAGCATGTGCAAAATGCTGCCAACATAATGGTTTTTTTGCGCATATGCAATTTTCACCCCAACATGCCTTTTACAGAGCTTTTGTTGTATGCTGTTGATAATGACCCCTTTTGCATAGTTATGCATTTTCGCACACACACACAAGTAACCAGACACACAAATGCACACGCCACGCTTCAGCGCTTCCCCCATTTGCTAAGCAAATGACTGAATATGCAAGGCAGTGCACAAATATGCTGCGGCAAAATGCATTTAGGAAAGGCAAACCCAATCATTTTTGCGCATTGAAAACTCGCTTGCGTTCGTGTGCCCATACGAGTATATATATATATACAAGCATATACGAGTATATGTATGACATCAAAATACAATAACGTCGCTAAAAATAGCGAGTATCCTTGAGCTCGCAGTAAAGCTAATGATGTTGGCTTGGATCAAATTAAAAAATGCAGCAGATGAACGAGCATCAAAAATTAAAAATCTGCGAAAATGGCGAGGAGAAAATGTTTCGATCGGAAGTTACAATAGGTGGTTTAAAGAAGAAGTGGCATATAAACGAAGCGGCTATAGAGACCCAGTTACTCAACAACATTTTTTTCAATTTCTGTTTCGTCGTGGAATTGAACTGTAAAAACAAAAAAAAAACAGTGTTTAGCAAAAATGTTAGCAGAAAAAAGAGAGTAAATATACCAAGTAGACAGAAGTATCAATTGTTTTCATGCCCAAACGCTTCTACATAATCTGTAAAGCTAAAATTTTAATAGCAGAAAAATAAGTTGATTTTTTAATTTTTTTAATTTAATTAAACAGTTTTCAACAGAGAACAGTTTTCAACAGAGAACAGTTTTTAACCGAGAACAGTTTTTAACCAAGAACAGTTATTAAATGAGTGTAGTTTTGGACAGGAAATAGTTTCCGACAAAGATTGGCTTTCGATTGAGAACGGTTTCTGACTGAGAACAATGTTTGAATGATTACAAAAATTTACTGAGAATAGTATCTGACTGAGAACAGTGTTCGATGAATGCAAATTTTAAGTGGGAACAGTATTTGATGGATTGCAAATTTCGACTTAGAATGGTCTTCGATTGAGAACAGTATTTGACTGATTACAAATTTCGGCTGAGAACAGTAGTTTGTAGGACACCTTTCAGCAAAGAGATTTTTCTTCTTTAATTCATAATAAAAAATTACTATGAGTAACATCTCAAAGCAAATAGTTGCTAGTTGGCTACACAATTATAACAACAAAAAACATATAATCGAGAACAATTTTTAACCGGGAACGGTTATTGAATGAGTGTAGTTTTGGACAGGAAATAATTTCCGAAAGAGATTGGCTTTTGATTGATATTGGTTTCTGACTGAGAACAATGTTTGAATGATTACAAAAGTTTACTGAGAATATTATCTGCCTGAGAACAGTGGTTTGAGTGGGAACAGTATTTGACGGATTGAAAGTTTCGACTTAAAATGGTCTTCGATAGAGAACAGTATTTGACTGATTACAAATTTTGGCTGAGAACAGTAGTTTTTAGGGCACCTTTCGGCAAAGAGATTTGTCTTCTTAAACTCATAATAAAAAAATTACTATGAGTAACATCTCAAAGCAAGTAGTACCAAGTTGGCTACTCAATTATAACAACAAAAAACACATAACATAAGCGATAAGCATTTTATACGTACTTGCACTTAGTGGGAAGAGCCAGTGGAATTTAGAGGGCGTATAAAAGTAAAATTATATTAAGTAAGTGACTGCGAATGAGGTGTATATCTACCACTTTCTAACTAAATAACTGTCGCCAATACTCAACCACTGACTAACTTCTCTTCACAGTCATGCTGTTGACACCACAGCTATTGCTGCTGACGCATTGCAACTTGAAATCAATTGACTGTGGCGCAATTGGATTTTGTCACTTACAAATGTAGACAGAAAGACTATGTACATACTGGAACATTTAGAAAAGTGTAGTTCATCTGCTTTTACTTTTTACAAGCAAAAAAAAAATTTTCATTTTCAATATTTTTATCAACATTTTGGTATTTGGTAAGCTATTTAAAAGCAGCCAACGAAGTGTATAATTAATTATTCTAATGCAACCTCGTAGCCTCTACAGATTTTGATTTAAAATGCAACTGGTTTCATTTTAGGCTACTTTGAACTAGTATGAGACTAATATTTTACTGGTGGAAGCCAATTAAATGTCATCTCAAATTTGTTTTAATTGAGTAGCAGTTTCCAATATTTTAATAATAGAAGTTTTATGTAGGCAGATGACTGTTTAATTGAGCTAACTTAGCATACTAGTTTTAAAGCAGTTTTTTTTGGAATAAAACAAAAATTTCTATGTTCACTGCGCTAAAAATTTGTTTCTCACCAACTCCGCTCCACAGCATTAGTGAGGGCGTTCAGCACTCTCTGTTATGTGACGGTAAATGTTTATGTGACGGTAAAAGTTGGTCACTGATTGTCACCTGATGACCAAGATTCAATCAATTATTTTTCGTTGTGAATCGCAATATTGGTAGTATTAAATAAATGAGTCTACCGTTGTTTATTTGTTTTTGAATTTTGCTTGTTAAAACTTTTTTTATTTTTATGCTTTTCAATCTATTTGTTCTTTCCGTGTTATTCACTGCTGGTACTCATGAAATGCTTCGTTGCTTATTTTGTTTTTTGTTTTTTTTTTTTTTTATGGAAAAGGAAAACTGAAATTTGATTAAAAGCAACAGATATCTCTCACATATGCAGCATACATTTGAAAAATAAGAAAAGCAAATAAAATTACTGAGTATCTACAAACATATATTAAAAAAAAATATTGCTAAAAATACAAATTCTATATACGTATAACTAAAATTTGTAGGGTATCGATGACAGTTAATACAGGGAATTAATTTGATTAGTTTCACTTTAAATTTATGTACTGTTTTAACTAAATTTTATTTTAAATTAATTTGCTTAATTTTTTTCATTTTATTGTATTTATTTTTTTTAATTTCCTTTTGTTTAATTTAAATTTTATTTTTAACTATAATAAATATAGTTACTTATATTTTATCTATTTATAACTTTTCATTATTATCTTTTTATCCTATTTTTTTTACTTTGCTTTTCTTTATTTTCTTTCCTTTAATTTATTTTATTTTATTTTATTTTATTTTATTTTATTTTATTTTATTTTATTTTATTTTATTTTATTTTATTTTATTTTACTTTATTTTATCTTATTTTATTTT